AACTTTATTTACTTTGCCTGCAGTGAAATTCTATGTATTGAGGAAAAAAAGAGTAAGCAATTTTCTCTTATTACAACGAATTTATTGAATTATTACAACCCATAAGATTTCGGTAAGAGCACACACTTTGTACATATACTGTACATTTTCAAAAAAGCAAATAAAAAATAGAAATTAGATCATGAAGACGTTTGCTTATTCTCGTCGTCCTCCGCTGGTATGCGAACATGTCGCCGCCTATTAGGATGAAAGCAAGAATAATATGCAATCATTACGGATATACCTAAAAAAGAGAAGCAGGACTCAGATCAGTATACTGTATTATTATAAACTTTGTATTAAAATACGGTATATGTTTTTCCTTTTTTATTCTGTTTCACTTTTTATCTGTAAGACTCAAGTAGTTCCTATCTTTTGACATTTAGCTTCCCCAACAACGCACCTGTCACAAATAGAATGCCACATAATACTGCAGCTTGTACTTTATATGGGAACTGAATCGAGTTGTCCTTCATCCAGATAGAAAAGAAAATCTAAAAAATATAGGCAATCCTATAAATAATTAACCGTACTACGACAAAATAAGGTTCTACTCCTTTAAACGATTCATGAAAGTAGTAGGAAAATCTCACAGAAGCCTCTGTAGCCTCAATTGCATACGCCGTCGCATAACGCCATCGTGTTGGACCATCAGCCATATTGAATGGTGTGAAAATATGTATAGCAGCATTGATGAATGTCAGCCCTTCCTCTAAACCTCGCGAGGATATATTTAGGGCCTAAAAATATAAAGTACATATTTTAAAGGAAATTGTCAATGTGATTTCTAAATTGCCTTTATAAATTTTTAAAATTTCATTTCTTCTCCACTCAACTGTACTTAGAGTTCCCAAAATATGCGGAAGTGGTGGTCTGATTGGCTTATCTACCTTCACTCTAGTTAATGCTACTTAATTCTTTTGAAATTGATTTGCCAAATATAAATTTGAATGGCTGCGATCCAGACTTTAGCAGATCAGAAAGACATTACGGTGTTCGTAAATTAGGTAGAATGCGTTGGTTCGGTAGTGTAAACGAAAGAGAAGTTTCAAATTAGCAAAAACTTTTCTTTTCAAAACAAAGTCGAAATCTATACACAGGTTTTCACATGAGTATCTATGAAAAATTGAAGATTTTTACTAAAATCATTGAATTAAAATTGAATTGAGTCCAAAGAGATGAACCAATGATTTTTTCTCAGGGACTCTAATAATTTTGTAGGAGAACATGAATATTGTCCTACGATGAAAATGTTAAGAGGCATTAGTTAGATTAGTGTAAAGCATTGTTCATCTCCTTCTTCAAAGAAGCCTCTAAACAATACTCACCTGTAAAGCTTTGATATGCACCATTGAAATGAGAAAATGCAGAAAAAGCGGTGGTATAACTCTAAATTCGTAGGAGGACACCGATAATACTATAACTAGGAAGCGTGAGGTCACAGTGGA